TTACATGTACCATGAAAGAATGTAAATAACAATGAACTACTCTTATTTGGCCCTTTGGGGTCTGTTAATTGAAAAGGTTTTATTACATATGCTCAATAAGTTAAATTTACCCATCAATCCTTTTGAAAATCTTGTGAGTCAATAACATCCTGTGCGATCATGGTCACAGTTTCAATGTTCAGAGGACTGCAGAACCACAGCCCTTTATGTTATGGACAATAAGAGGGGCAGAGTTCTGTATTCCCATCTTGTTTTGTACTTCCTGCACAGATGGCCAAGTGAACGTTGTTAAAGACAGGAGTGTTGCACCAGGTGAAAAAGGAACAAAGAACCCCACACTAAACACACAGCCTGGTTTTTAGGTTTAGATACCTAAGGGTCCATGCACACTAGGAAGCTGAAAAAAATGCCAGAACCTCTGGCAGAAAAAGCAGCATAAAAACGTTCAAAGTGGCTCCTATTGCACAAGAGTTTGTGCATTTATGGCCATTTGCTTTTTCCAAAACATCCCCCTCTGCTCAATCTAATAAATGTAAACACCGGACACTCCTAAACGCCTCATTTATGCATGTCAAGGGTTTTTTCTGCCCGAAAGATTCTCTCAAAACAAAGTTGTATTAGTTTTTTGTTTTTTTCAGCCGGATAACGCTCCTTTGCCTATAAACACCCAAATGTGCATGGACATCAGTGCTTATATAGGCAGGAAAAAAAAAAAGCTGGTATAAGCAGCGGTCATTTCCAATGTGAGTGAGGCCTTAAAGTTGTCTTTCCTTAAAATGTAAAACATGTTTCTCCATAGTCCCATGGATAATTTTGCTATAAACTGTATCCTTTAAAAGGTAAAAAAAAAAAAAAAAAAAAAAAACAGAACACAGATTTGTTTATTTAGATTTATTTGTTAATGTACAAAGAAAACCTGGATCCTTCCATTAGGCCCTGCAATGAGAGAACATGTATTAATGCTTAAAGATCCACATGGAGGTCAATATCCTGAAAGAGAACTTAAGATGTTCAATTTTAAAAAAAAAAATTTGGTTAGATTCAGGTGAGCGCCTGATCGTATGAACACAGACAGCCAGTGATCACAGTGTTATGAACAGTTAAGAACCAGTTCTGGCTGGAAAAGGGATACACATGACCTGACATGTTCTGTATCATTTACCAAATGAGTTCACAACTTTACAATGTAGTGTTAAAAAATCCCACATGTGAAATGTTTGGTGCAGATTCCAGAAGGATGTCTGGTGCTGAATACAGGATTCACTATACACAACTATACGAAAATGAAAAGCGCCCACAACACATACATGGCAAGAAAAAGGTCATCCCCTTGGAATTACCTGGTTTTCTGTAGCAGTTGGCCATAAAATGTAGACAAGAATATTAGAATATAAATACTGTACAGATAAGCACAATGTACTAACACAATTTTAATTTTTCCATTAAATATTCCCAGGAAAAGTGAATCCATAGACTAATTACTTTCACGAAAGCCAATCGGAATTTACTAGTTTGCACACCTGGAGTGCAAATAATGAAATACGTTTGGAGGTGTGGTTTAAAGCTACTTTGACTGATAAGACAAACATTTTAAAGGAGCTTTTACACAGCTGTTGAAAAAAACAAAAGAAAAACAACGCATTTCCAGTGCATTTTTTGGTTGGCATTCACATATGAAACATGGATATGCAACTCAAACTCACCAAACATCCACAGTGCTTTGACACATTTTACATTCATTTCAACCAGGAACTGCATTTTTGGTGCAGCTTTGAAAAGCGCAAAGATGCAGCATGGACTTTTCAAAAATGCACTGCACTCACATGCCATATGATTTAAAACGGAAATATTTTAGAGCGTTTTTCTTGTGTTTTGGCAAGGTAAGAAATGCAGCAAACAAGGTCTTCAGATTGCTGATGTGAACCATGCCTCACAGAAAAGGAGCTCAAAACAACCTCAAAGTGTTTACGCATCAGTCGACAAACTGTTTATAAATGGAAACACTTTTACTACTGTGAACACTATTCCTAGAAGTGGGTTACATAGTTAGTCTGGCTGAACTGGATGGACTTTTGTCTTTTTTCAACCATAGAAAAAAAAAAAAAAAAAAGTTATAATTCTATACCCACAGTTGATCCAAAAGGAAGGCAAAAATGGTGCCCAGCCAAGATGACTCAAGGCACAACGCAGAATCTGCAATGAGGTAAAGAACTAAAGACATCACTGGAACCGGCAAACATCTGTTTAGGAGTCTACCATAAGTCTTTGAACAGGCAGGGTGTCCATGGCAGACCACCACAGAGGGAGCTGCTGCAAAATAAAAATAAATCACAAGCTGCATGCCGAAGGTTTGCGAAAGAGCGCCTTGGCCAATGCTACTGGGAAAATGTTTTTTGGACTTAAAGTCTTCTTTGGCAAGAATACTCATTACATGTGGTGCAAAAAAAGGGTGCAGCTTACCAGTATCAAAACATGGTGACGTATAGTAGAGGGATCATCATGACTTGGGCTTGCTTCGTTGTCTCAAGTTTACCAAAATATCCTACAGGATAATGTTAAAGTGGCTGTCTGCCACACAAGCATTGTAGTAAATCCAGCAGACTGGCTTCAGATAAAGAAAATGCACCTTTTAGAGTAGCTCAGTCAGAGCCCAGACCTTATCCCCATAGATTCTGTGGAATGACCTCAAGAGAGCCATTCACACCAAACATCTCTGTAAAGAGAAATGGTCTAAAATTCCTCCTGAACATTGTGCAGGTCTGATCCAGAGCTACTAAAAGTGCTTGCTTGAAGTCATTGCAGCCAAAGGAGGTTTGACAGCTATTAACTGCAAAGGTTTACTATTAAGGTTCACTTTTTCTTCCAGTACTTTGAATGTTGAATGGGTGTGCTCAATAAAGACACAGGAAATTAGAATTGTTTATGTTAACAGCTTAAAGCGGAGCTCCACCCAAAAGGGGAAGTTCCGCTTTAAGCCTTTGTCCCCCGCTCCCCATTAAGGTTTGGCACATTAAGACTACGGAGCCATTCACAAAGCGCAGCGCTTCGAGCATGCGCAGTGGGCACCTGGCTGTGAAGCCGCAAGCTGTCACAGCCAGGTGCCCACACTGAAGATGCCGGCACCAGGGAGAGAAGACGGCCGGTGAAACCAGCGGTGGTGAGGACACCGCTGGACCGAGGGACAGGTAAGTGTCTGTATTTTAAAGTCGGCAGCTACAGTTTTTATAGCTGCTGACTTTTATTCATTTTTTTTTTTTTATGTGGAACTCCTCATTAAGCCCATAATGTTTGTCTATTGTGACTTTGAGGATAGGATCACATTTTATGGCAAACTACTGCAGAAAACAAGTTAATTCCAAGGGGTTCACATACCTTTTTTGCCACTCTATTAAACTGAACATTAAAGTGTAGCATGGAGACACCCGTTTTGGAAGCCCACAGACATCCTCATTCACTCCTAACTACCCGGAGAGAAACGGAACAAGGGTCAGGTGTCAGGAATGGCAGCTTCCATATTTCTATGACTGGTTCCTTTTGTCAGCTGTCACATGCCCTGCTGCCATAATAAAAATTAAACTCATCATTGGCCCTCAAATAATTCTATCCAATGTTAACCCATACTATGCTGTGTTATCTACAGGATTACTGTGGCTACCAAAGAGAAATTGTTCTCTTATCCCCCAACCCCCCCATGACACAAAGTTGGCGGTGGATGGCCGAGGGTTTGTTTAAACTCTCTATATAATTATGTGAAAACATACCTGCACTTTATCCTGCCTATGAAATGCACAGGTTCACTTTAAAATACCATTCTCATTTCTGAATTCAAAGTCAACTCAATCCAAACCTTTATTGTTGATAAAGGATCAGAACCTCTATCTAGATTTTGTCTATGACAAAAAAAAAAACAAAAAAAAAAAAACGCTTTTTAACATGTCCAGAGGGCTGCTGGGGATGCTAATACTGTCAGTTGTAGTCCATGCCAGATACAGCGGCCACTGCTGCGATTTCCACTAAAGTTCCCAGTTTTCTAGCACATCCTCCACTGAGAAAACTTTTAATGGAAAGCATCTCACAGATTGGATGCGGGTAGATTTTGAAATGTATCTGTTCCTCCTCTCCATCTTTCAAATTAGAGAATGCCTTGTATTTATAGAAAACAATACAGTTTATCAATGGCTGACGTGTGGAATAAGCATCCCACGGTGAGAAATGTATTGTGTCAGAATCACAGCAGCAACAAGAACAGCAAAGCTCACTGTATCTGGCACATACAACTGGCAATATAGGCATCCACAGCAGCTCTCTGGATGGGACATACCAATCAGATAACCATGGGGGCACCAGTCTAACTTTCTTGGATCTTTTCCCCAGAGTTCCATTTTAATGTTCAGCATTTGTATAGTTTCACTTTAGACCGGTAAATATGAAATATTTCATATTACCATTCCAGATTTACATGGTCAGTCAGTAGGTGGAGGTCCAAGCACCAAGAAAGCAAGCTTGTTCAACTCAAATTCACATACTGAACAAAAACATTTAAAACGCAGAGCTGACAAGGGCCTTAAACAGTAAACATTTTCATGCTGAAACATTATTGCACTTTACTCTTTTCCATATTAAGCCCAAGTTTTGTCAGGTATTTTGTTGCCATCTGTTACCATTGGAGATTTCCCCTTACTTGTGCCCATGATGTAGGTTCATAACCTGACATGCAGGGTATCACCAGGATACTAAGGGAAAGTCTTCCCGTTTGGAACACTGCTAGCAAAATCCTGACAGAGGCTCTAATCCCTTAACAAAAAGCGATTTATTTAGTAAGCAGATTCCTCTCACTTCCTGTCCAGTGATGGAGAGTCCGGGAATCTCAAATGTTCTACCCTTGTCTTACCTAGGCAAATTTTAAGTCTTGGCTGGAATTGGTCCTAAAGAAAAAAAAAAAAAAAAACACACAAGACAAACAGAAAATAAAAACCCCACACACACCACAAATCACTCACCTATGATTCCTCGGCACCTGCAGGTGCATCACCACCTTTTGTGTTTCTGGTATAGATGACCTGGGCTCTGTGCTTGGACACCAACTTAATCAGACCTTAGAGGAGAAAGTTACAAACTGAGTGAACTTCAATCTCATCTGAAGGCTTCTTGACCTATTCTAATATAAATGTAAACAGCTCACCAACAGTTTCCTAAAATTTGTTGAGGGTGGATATTGTTACCAAAACTGTACTGGTTATAATGACAGCTGTGAGTTTAGCCCAAAAGGACTTCCCCCATAAAAAAAAAAAAAAATGTTCAAAGTAGAGGCCTGAGATAAGCAACATCACAAGGCTACATATGACTGAGGGGATCCTAAATGTGGGAAAATATGCAGAACTTCTGTACAAGATAAAGCAAAGGGGGAGAGAGTATAAACTGGCTCTAACAAGAATCTGCTGGCTTGCCCTGCAAGTCAAACATTTTATGAAAATAACATTACATAAATTCACCTTTTTATACTTTACAACCTATAGCACTCAATCAGCAAAATGTATAATAATCTCCATAACGAACACAATGCAGTCCGATGCTTACCTTTGTTGAGCAGCTCCTGGAGGGCAGCCCTGGCCAATGAGCCTCTGATCTTCAGCCTCTCAGACACCACAGCTGGGGTAATGAGTTTGTAGTTGGGAACTTCTTTACACAGCTTGTCATAAGTGGCTTTGTCAAAGAGCACTAGATTGTTCAGCTTGTCTCTCACTTTTCCTTTTGACCACTTCTACTTGGGAGGAAAAAAAAAAATGGCAATTTGCATTTTTATCACTGAGCCCCTTACGCACTCCATTAACATTATTTACTGCACTCCATTTTATAATGAAAAAGTCTCCCACTGCTTCTATCAAGTATCAGACCCACAAACATCTAAGAATAATTAAGGCAAAACCGTGATAATCTAGTGTACAAGAAAACATTGCATAACCGCTTCCCGACCGCCCTATAGCAGAACTATTGTTACAGGGCAGCAGGGCTGCACAAAATCACGTGTTTATGAATTTCTGGGTAGGAGGTGCGCGTGCGCCGCCCTACCCGCATCGCCACTGACAGCTACAGCTGTCAATCACCGGGTCCCAGACAGCCACACAGAAAAACAGCAGTTAACCCTTTGATCTCCCCAGATGTTAACCCCTTCCTGCTCAGTGTCATTAGTACAGTGTCAGTGCTTTTTATGAGCACTGATTACTATTAGTGTCACAAGGATGTCAGTGGCAGTTAGTTCCCCCCAGTGTCAGAATACCTGCTGCTATAGGTCGCTGATCGCCACCATTACTAGTATAAGAAAAATTTCCAGTATATATACTGCCATTTGTAGACGCTATAACTTTCACATAAAACAATTAATTTACACGCATTGGGGTTTTTTTTTTTTTTTTTTAGCAAAGACATGTAGCAGAATACATTTTGGCCTAAATTTGCCGAAATTGTATTTTTTTTTTAAATGTTTTTACTGGACGTTTCATAGCAAAAAAGTACAAAATAGTGTTTTTTTCCCCAAAATTGTCAGTCTTTGTTTATAGCACTGAGAAAGGCAGGAGAGGAGCAGTGTATACAGTGACTGGCTGTCACTATGTCAGTGCCGGTTTTTAAATGTAATTACCGGCTTTTTTTCCCTTCGCTATAGCTCACAGAATTAGCTGTCACTTTCCCCGCTAAAAGGAAAAAAAAAAAAAAAGTTTCCTTTTAGTTTCTTTCCTGAGTTAAAAAAAACAGTTTCCTTTAGCTCCAGGGAAAGTGACAGCTAATTCTGTGAGCTATAGTGAAGAAAAAAAATCCTCTCTGTATACATTGCTACCTCCCTGTAAGTTAAAAAAAAAAAAATAAAGATATACATGAAAGTAGAAAAAATACAAAAAAAAAAAAAATTGGAGCCTCCCCACATACGCAGACATTTCGGTTTTCAGCTTTATCCATTCACGGTGGGAAAAATTACCTACTATATACGGATTTTCTTATTGGTAGATTTTTGCAGACATTTCGTACCTTCTTTTTGGCCTTGCCTCCAGACTTATTGACTGGGTCCTTATCCTTCTTGGCAGACTTGCCAGCATCTTTCTTTTTCTTGTCGTCTTTGGGTGGCTGGATAAGAAAACAATATTATTTACTAGCCTGTACTGAACCTTAGGCTTTCAAAGATTCATGGTTTCTAAATGTACCTACAACAATCTTAAAGAAAATTATCACTCAACTGATGCAATGGGCACCACTTACTGGTTTTTATTTTTAAATCCACCCCCTCCCAGGAGGCTGCAGGAGCAGGTCCGTGTCGTGGACAAAGTTGTGTGCTCAGGGGTTGGCTACCTGAAGAGGGACCAGGCTCTTCATGTAAAAGAAGATGGCCCATGTTGGACAGCAGTAGTGACACCTGAGCAGCGATTACAGCAAGACAATACTGGATCTGCTGAGCAGGTGAGTATCTGACTGCAGGACAACCCAGCAGAACACGTATAGAGGGAATTAAAGAAAATGAGTATGGCAGTAAAATTGCGCACTATTCCCCAGGCAAACAAGCATGAATGCCCCCCAATCAGCAAATAATGGCATGGCCCAAATGTGTCATACAAAACTGCTGAGCCTAAAGCCAGGTTTAGATCGTCCAAGCAACTAACTGCTGCTGAGATTTTCTTCCACTTCCTGCTTTGGGTCACAACAGAAAGCGAGAGGAGAGAACTATAAGGGGAAAGCCTCTGTTCACCTAGGTTTCCCCTCTATCTGCTCCAGTGATGGCTTAGACCGCTTTCACATGGGCGTCTTCCAATCCAATATCCTTTTCAGAGATAAAACAGATTCCATTGCAGTTCAGTTTACATCAGTCTACAACCATTTTTGCATCTTTAAGTTGTTGCAGAAACCAGAGGCGACAACTGTGTGAACAAATGTTTCTTCCCTAAAAATAAATGGAATGGATGTAAACAAACAGTATTCATTTATATACATTCCTCTCCAATGGATCTGGATGTTGGCTGTTCCATTTTTAAAAAAGGAACTGAACGGATGTGAATGTAAACAACAGATCATCGGTTTACATCCAGTAGTCCGCAGAAATGATTTTTTTCTCAAAAAACGGGGAAGACAGGAACGCTTGTGTGACAGGGCCTTAAAATCTTGAGATTCTCACTCCCAGCTCCAGTGACGAGTCAGCAGGACATCTAAAGGGTGATAAAATGAAAGGTGACGGGTTCTATCCCTGGTCAAATACTTTTAATAAAATGTTAGATGCACTTTGCTGAACTAATGTTTTAGACCAGGGTGCTCCATATATTCTGAACAAAGGCCAGGATAGTTTTACACTTTAGAGGGGCCAAACTGGTCAGTAGGAGAAGGTGGGACAGTGGGAGTAGACAATGCCTCAGGTAAGGGAGTAAAAGAAAAAATGATATGGCATGGGGGGGGGGGGGGGGGGAGGGAATGGTGCCCCTACTGACAGTGGGAGGGGCTGTCAGTAGGAGGTAAGGTGCACCAAGGGCCAGATGAAGGCAAGCAAAGGGCTGCAGTTTGGAGCTGCTTTGGACACAAGAGCTGAAAACATTCCATGCTCCACACTGTGGTTCCAGACACCCGCCTCTACATCACTGGTATGTCCTGGGAAGAATGGGAGGACGACACTGGGGACAGCAGCTGGCTGTGGGACCATGGGGCACCCGACATCGGAAAGTGTTGGATGTTGAGGATCCCCAGCAGCCTATGGAGCTGGATTCACACACAGGACTGCCAACCATCAGACGTGTGAATAGGCTGCACTGTATTTAGCAATATAGTCCCTGAAGTGTAACTGAAGGCAGGATCGCCTAGACAGAATGGTGAGGGGTCAGGACACGAGCAGTTCTTACTGTAGTCTTGGCTGCCTGTTACTACAAAAATGCAGAGAAATAATTCATCATACAGCACTGCAGGGAGACACGCTTACTCTCTGTCCTGACCACCAATGTCACTGGGAGGGAGACAAAGTGCCACCAGAACAGGAAGTGAGGGAAATCTTCTACTGGGGACAATTGCTTATGTGACAACCTACTTAGAACCTATGATGATATCCTCTCACTTCCTGCTGAGATGGCAAAACAGGAAGTGGAGGCAAATTACAAGATTGCTTTACACCCCCCCATGAAAAATAAACACTCCACTGTCCTGCAACCTAAGAAAGGGAGAGGATGGCTCCATTCTCAGCTCCCAATCCTCCCTGTAGGTGGGGTGATGTCCGCAGTCCCCGGCCCAATGTAGCTGTGACATCACCAGGACCTGGATCACCGGGTGGGCACAGTGACATCATCACTGACCTCACCAGAGCCACCCCCACCTGGCACCTACCTGGAGAGGCGTTTGGGTTTTTTTTTGCTTATAAAGTATGTATGATCGCCGGGGATGACAGCAATGCCCGGACCCGCTCACGTGTACATGGCTGCCATCCGGGCTTCACACAACAAACCATGTGAAAGGATCACAAAGTCAGCCTGGTCTCTGTACTCCGCCGACCGTCAGCACAAGGAGAACCCGCCATAGATCGCAGCCGGCCAGACGAGGCGCCGTATACCGGCAGATCATGAATCCGGAACTCCCACTGTCCACCAGAGCCGGGGGGAGCTCGGTCCGTCCAACCCACCCCCGACACCGCTCCCCGGCCCCGGAGCCTCACCATGCTGCTGCTGCTGGCTCAAAGATGTCGTACAGAAAGGAAGAGGCCCGTCCAGAACAGCGCAGGAAACCCCGGAGAGGGCGGGAACTTCCGCCTGGCCGGAACACAGCTTACACTTACACTGAACTACAACTCCCAGCATTCCTCCAGAGTGCCAGAGACTGTCCGTGTACAGCCCCCCATATAAACTACAACTCCCAGCATGCTTCAGGAGTGCCAGAAACTGCCCGTGTACAGCCCCCTATATGAACTATAACTCCCAGCATTCCTTGAGAGTGCCAGAGACTGCCCGTGTACAGCCCCCTATTTAAACTACAACTCCCAGCATGCTTCAGGAGTGCCAGAAACTGCCCGTGTACAGCCCCCCATATAAACTACAACTCCCAGCATGCTTCAGGAGTGCCAGAAACTGCCCGTGTACAGCCCCCTATATGAACTATAACTCCCAGCATTCCTTGAGAGTGCCAGAGACTGCCCGTGTACAGCCCCCTATTTAAACTACAACTCCCAGCATGCTTCAGGAGTGCCAAAAACTGCCCGTGTACAGCCCCCCCATATAAACTACAACTCCCAGCATGCCTCAGGAGTGCCAGAGACTGCCTTTGTACTAAAGAGTAGTGGTTAATGATTCATGATCTAGGGTCATCAGTGGTGTACCCCAAGGTTCAGTGTCGGGACACTTACTTTTTAATATATTTATAAACAATATAGGGTCTGGGATTATAAATTCCATTTCAGTCTTTGCAGATGACACCAAGCTGTGCAGTGGAATAACGTCCTTACAGGATGTCTCCAACTTACAAGCTTAATAATGGCATGCAAGGCCAAGCTGCGGTTTCTAAAGTGAGCAAAATCCTCTCTTGTATTAAAAGAGGTCTAGACTCCAGAGAGAGAGATAGTCATAGAGAGTAAGACCTCATCTGGATATAGCATTGCTTTAAAAAAAGGCCTGGATTCTTACTTAGATACACAGAATATAACTGGATACTAACATCTATAGGTAAAGTTGATCTAGGGAATATCTGATTGCCTCTCGGGGGATCAGGAAGGAATTTTTTTCCCTGCAGGAGCAAATTGAATCATGCTTTGCTGAGGTTTTTGCCTTCCTCTGGATCAACTGTGGATGTAGGATTATAATGTAGGATTTTTTTTTTTTTAATGGTTGAACTGGATGGACTTTTCTAGTTTTTATCAGCCAGACTAACTATGAAGGAATTGATACCACTGAATGGCCCCACGCTCGCCTGACCTAAATCCAATAGAACACCTCTGTGATATCATGTTTCGGTCCATCTGACACCGCCAGGTTGTGCCTCAGGCTGTGCAGGAGCTCAGTGATGCCCTGGTCCAGATCTGGGAGGAAATACCGCAGGACACCATCTGTCATCTCAGGAGTATTCCCCGATGTTGTCAGGCATGCATACAAGCACGTGGGGGCCATACAAACTACTGAATCCCATTTTGAGTTGCTCCAATTAAATTTCACCAAAATGGACAAGTCTGCTGCATAATTATTTCACTTTGATTTTCAGGGTGTCTTTGAAATTAGTCCTCTGTAGGTTGATAATTTTCATTTCCATCAAACGATGGGGCATCCTTAACCTATAGCCGCCCGGCCAATAGCCGTTTGGCGACCAGCAAAATGCTGTAGATTTCCGGGTGGACGCCATATGGAGTCCTCTGGGGCATGCGCAGTTTTCGCGCTTGCAGAGCCGCGCAGCGGCGTGATCTGTCACCGGCCGTGTACCTCGGACACGGGCAATGACAGATCTGAGTACCGGCCTCCGTTTCCGGTACCATGTGACCTGCTGTGACCAATCACAGCAGGTCACATGACAGTTGTATACAATGGATGGCTTCATTCATGCCATCCATTGTATACTAGTGTCTAGCTGTGAATGGTCACAGCGATCACATGCACATGTCTTGTGATTAGCTGTGGCCAAATCACAGCTAAGCACAAAAAGAAAAAAAAAGAAAAAACCTGAATGAGTCGATGTAATTCTGGTAAATGCTTGCTTATAGCAAAGTAATTCTTTGCTATAAGCAAATTGTGTAAAAAAAAAAAAGAAAAATACTGATCACTTCCCCAAAGTAGTACAATGTTACTACATTGTACTACTTTGGACATAGTGAAATATGAAAAAAAAATCTTAAAAAAAAGAAAAAAAAGTAATAAAAAATTAAAAATAATAAAAAAAATGTTTAAAAAATATATTTTTTTTTTTTCATACTGTCACCAGTCAGTGTCCCTGATCACCGCCATGCCAGTTATATGATGACGCTGTACTGCACTGGTGACAGTATGTAAAAAAAAAATAGTGAACATACTTTTTTTAATTTTTTAATTTTCCGAAAAATTATGACAAAAAATACAACTTCAAAAAACTCGCCATGCCTCTTATGAAGTACGTCCGACTGTCTGCGTTGCAAAAAGGGGTCATTTGGGG